ATCTTTAAATATCAAATATCATCTAGGTAAGTCTTTTAGATATTAAGATTAGATATGATTTTCCCCCAAGTACACAGGTTGCCTTAAGTATGTATTAGACAGTATATTTTTACTTTCACAAAGACTATGAAATTGCTTTATACCTGAGACAATGTGGAACTCTATGATGCTTAGCAGACTATATAGCCACATAATTGCCCATTTTCACTGCTTCCAATGAGCCCTGACAGCTCACCAGTTTATAGCAGTAGCAGATGACTAGGGAAAGAAGTTTCTCGTTTTCTAACTTCCTTTCAGAAAAGATTTCCCGAAAATTCAGGATTTTAAAAAAAGTGGCTTATGAATTATGGAAGATACTGCTATACTCAAACAGGTTTTATATCCTTGCAATATTCCTAGCAGACTCAGAAGTCGAAAATAAAGCAATGCATTTAAGAAACTCTTAAAGCAATCAGAAAAGTAATAAATATGAAAAATCATTTTTAATTACCTCTGTTGAGTGACGCTGAACTGTTTATATCTCCAGTAATAAAGGAAGACTCTGACTGCTTTCGGACCGTGTCATTCCACATTCTACGGATTCGGCTCTGGGTGGGGGAAAAGGAAGAAAGGAAATAAACTCACGAGGCAGAGAATTTTCACACAAATCATTCTTTTTCTTTCTGTCATAGTTATATGAGACCTTTGCTTCTAGCATCTGGCAAATAAGCAGCTTCTACATGTTTGCAGCACAGAAAGCATGAGAACATTAGAAATAACATTAATGGTAATACATGGTTCTCATTAAGTGTATTCCTAAATGCCTATATCAAAGATAATTATAACTATGAAAAAGGAACAAACGTAAAGCACTAGACCAATTTAAATATGTTGAAGATATTAATATATAGAAGTGTACTCTAGACAGTTAGAATTAGAAAATTTTAGTTTCCAAGGTAAAACAAATTATTTTCACTGTAACTTTTATTGGAATAGGAATGTTTCCATATACATTCAGTTGCCGGTTTTATTAACAAAAGATTTAGTTTAGGAAATCAGAATCGTGCAAGAGAGAGTTTGTTCAGAAAGAACATAGAATATTATGAAAATGCTACTGAACTTACATTTTCTATCACTTTTATGAAGAGATCAATACAATTTTAGAGATTACACACTATTCTGACTTTTCCTTCTTTTGAAGGAGATAGAAGATTCACCC